CACCTGCCTGAGTTCTTAACCTTCAGTCCTTCCCTCACCCCAGATATAGTGTTCCATGACACACTGGAACACTTACCTTATCACATTGCTTATCATACAGTTTTGTAATGTCCTATCTATTTGTGTTTGTCTCCCACCAGACAGTATCCTCAGCACCTAGCACAGTCTGACGCACAGTAAGCACTCAATGTATATGATGACTGAATAAGTTCCTTAATTTTGATACTTCAAAAGACTCAACTGAAACGATATCTGTACAGTCATAGGACATTTAGAAGGAAGTGCTTCTATGTGCTAGAAATAAAGATGAAAACATCAAGGCAAGGATCTCCTTAGATAGATTTAAGAAAATGTGGACGCTTTTCATGTTAAGATTTTCTAGAAGCAGTAGGGTTTATTGCAATTCTTTTAAACCAAAATACCACACACTGAAATGATGACTGAGGACAAAGGTCAAGAATGCAAGTTAAGGTACTTTACCCATTACTTTTTCAATAATTACTTCAAAGCCTGTATTTTGTTCTTCTAAAAGTGTACTCTCTTGCCTTCAGACTAAACACCCCAAACCACAAGGCTATCTAACACAGCCAGGACTTCAAAGAACTCCTTAGTTGACCCATAGAGCTGGCCAGATGTTGAATCTGAACATATTTGCTTAAATTATCTAAAATTCCAAAATCCATAAAAACTCTAGAAACCTGAAGTTTTTTATAAGTTGGCAGTAAACTTATTTGGCAGCAAAATCTGACCTAAACAGATATGTGGTTATTATATAGGTTAGATAGCCTTCATTTATCCTAGTTAGTAATACTAATGCATTTTGTTGCACAAATGTTAAAGGTACAAGATGGTACTCCAGATCCTGCTGAGGTGTTAGGGATTATGTGGTATATGCATTACATTCCTGTCTAAAATCCCAACAATTCTGAGTTCTGAAACACATCTGGCTCAAAGGGTTTGGATAAATGATTATGTGTCTATATTAAGAGCAAGATATAAATTTCTCTTAATCTCTATTTTTTGTCTGCTGTATTCAAAACATTTATCCAGAGCCAGCCCTGATGGCCTAGTGGTTAAAGTTCAGCGCACTCCACTTCAGCAGCCCAGAGTTTGCTTCCCTGGTTCAGAACCGCACCACTCCTCTATCAATAACCATGCTGTGGTAGCAGCTCACGTAGAAGAACCAGAAGAACTTACAACTATATACAACTATTTACTAGAGCTTTATGGGGGAAAAAGAAGGAAAAAGAAGGAAGATTGACAACAGATGTTAGCATAGGGTGGATCTTCCCCTGCAAAAAAAAAAAAAAAAAAAAAATCCAAATAATGCCCTCTGTTGTTTTGTATCTGAAAAATTGGTCTTATTGAAAATAGCTTTACCCATTTCATCTGTTTTAATATCAGCTAAATATTTTGGAAATTCAATGTTCCTATTCATATATGAGACTTGTTTAAAAAAGTATAGGAAATTCTATACTTTTTTAGGATCTTTGTGGCTCATTTCCATCAGATGAATCATCGTCATCCTCACATGAATCATCACCAGAACAATTGAAAATATAGAACTAAAAAATATATCTAGTAGAAAACATGTTATTTCAGAACACATTTGAAAGACTAACGTCACATTTACAAGCTGTTCACATCTGGCACTCTCAGCAGATGAAAGTAGAATTTTTTGTAGCTTAAGGTGTAAAGGGGACAACAATAAACAGATATTATCATTGTAAAGAACAAAAAACACCTAAAATACATTTAGGAATGAGCTGAACAAGAAATGTACAGTATCTCTGTGAAAAACAATGCTACTGGGAAACTTTAAAACATTGGTAAATAGAGGGCCATTTGTTTTTAGATGGCATATTTGGTTTCAAAAGCAAAAGTCATTCTGGTGAGCGTAAACTGAAAGAGAAGTTTATTCGAAGGAGGAGAGGTACCTTGTTGAGATCCCCAAGTGCAGAAAGGGCAGTAGGGCCTTAGTAGGGACAGGACCTGGAAGGCCCCTAGAACCCCAGACAACTACCCACTACCCTCTTCTGGGGCCACAGGACTTCTTAGCTCTGCTTCCCTCTGTGCATCTACCTCTCTCTGCATGCCTGCTTTCTCTGCACTACCTGCATGTGAGCCAAACGTCTCTCCCTGCTTTACTCTTGTGTCCTTATTTACTAGGTCAAGAGACTAGGTAAGACTAATTGGAAATTTCTAGGAGAGAGAATCTGATTGGACCACTGCGAATTAGTTTGCCACCTAACCCTAGTCCAATCAGCTATGGCAGAGGAGGGGAGGGTCAAGTGGGTATCTGTTGGGGGAGTGGTGAAGGCAAACTCAATGGCATGTCCATTATAGATGAGCAGATTCCATATTGTGGAGAGGCCATGTAACATAGAGGTTAAGAGCACAGGCTCTGGGGCCAAACTGCCTGAGTTTCACTCCTGACTTTGCCGCTTATTAGCTGCTTGATCTTGGACAAGTTATTCAATCTCTTTATATTTCAGTTCCCTCATCTGTAAAATGAGGCTATGTGAATTCAATGAACACAAACAAAGCAGGAGTAAAAACGACATAAGTATTTATTACTTTTATAAAGATGTGCATTCTTCCTAAATTAACCTATGAAATGAACACAATTCCAATCAAAATAATAACTCTTTTTTAACCTGACAAAATGAATTTAAAGTTACTATAGAAGAAATAATGTCTCTCTAGAGAGGACGGCAGGGGCAGAATTGGGAAAAGCACACAGATGGACGCAAGTTATTGGTCTTAGGTAGGGGGGTTGGTTTCATATTATGTTTTTAACTTACAGTTATTATGAAATTTTCTTTTATATATATCAAACATATTTTTAAAAGCAATTCTTAAAGAAATACTCTGAAAAGATTATTGAGCAGGGATTTACCTACCAGAAATTTAAACATAATTTAAAAGTATGTTAAAATAATATTACTGTCCAGTAAAAGATTAAGTCAGTGGAACAGAAAATACCTATAGAAATTTAGTACTGTATAAAGGTACCACTTTTAATCAATAGGGAAGATTGAGTATTCAATAAATGATGTGGGGCAACCAGCAAGTCATTTAGAAAATAAAAAAATTAAGCTAGATTCTTCCCTTCCTCCTCATAAATAAATTTCATATGGATTAAATATTGAAATATTTTTAAAAGATACCTAAAAATGCTAGAAGAAAATACACAGAAGCATGACATCAAAGCTGGAAACATAAAGGAAAAGACTAATAGATATGCCTACATAAAAATGAAAAACTTCACACCCACAACCCCATCACCTTAAACTTCTATCCATTTGCACTTATTTAGGGGTTCTGTTTCTGATAAATTCTATACAAAGCAAGTTTTTACATAGTATAAATTGTACATATATAATTTTATGGTATACATTTTATATAACGTTATCATGTACCTTTTCTTGTACTCTTTATCTTTCTATGTAGCCTACACATCATGTCAGGATAGTCCATCTTCCTCCACTCTGCTTCCCCATCCCCTTTACAAATAACTTCCTCCAAAAGTTATGACCATTTACTTCTTCTCACGTGAATTTTAGTATCATTTTCTTGAGATCTATAAAGTATCTATTTTTTTGCATTTTAATTGAAACTGATAATATGCAAATAACTTAGAGACGAATTGTATCCTTTGCTATTTTAGTCCATCTGGCATCGTATGTTCTTCCTTTTTACTAGACTTCCTTTTTCGTCCAATAAAAGTTTTATTGGGAAGAAGGAAGGGAGGGAGGGAGAGAGGGAGGAAGGAAAGAAGGAAGGAAGGAAGGAAGGAAAACTTCCTTCACCAAATAAACATCACGGGTCATATTACAAGATGGAATTAAAGATGGAAAAAATATTTGTAACCATATTTCAAAGTTTAATATTCCTAATATACTAAAAGCACGTAATTAAAAAATGTGAATATTCTGATTTAAAAATCAGAAATTACGAACTGGCAATTCACAAAAATAGAGCCGATAAATATACGAAAGATGTTCAGTTTTACACTTAGTCAACAAAATGCAAACTAAAGATGATAAAAGATTTTAAGACGGTGATCACGTAGTTTGAGGATACTCAAGATTAGCAAGGCGATGAAGACAGCTGTCATTTACAGTCTCTGTTGGTGGAAAAGTATTAAATACATTTCGAGGGGAGAGTCAGGTAACATCAGCTAGAATCTTTCAAACGTGCATTTCCTTTGATCCAATAATTATATTTCTACGAATTTATTGTAAGGAGACAATCAGGGATATGTACAGATTTACGTATAAAAATAGTCATCAAGTATTGTTCGTACAAGTGAACAGCTGTGAATACTGTAGAAGTCCAATAATTTAGGGATTGGTTGAACAAATTACATCCATACAGCCATTACACCCATACAGCCATTAAAAATTATTATGTAATCTATTTTAATTTACCTAGGAAGATGAAACCTAATCGGGAAAACATAACATGCCCACATTGTTCTATTAAAAAAAGACTTTTCACGTATATATTAAAAGTCTCCAAGTTTCTACAGCACTGTTACTACTATTTCGGGGAGGCGAGATCGTGGGTGAGTTTACCTTTCTTTTATATACCCTTATGTACTTCCTACTGGACAATTTTTAAGGGAGCAGGCGTTTTTAAAAAGCAGTATTCTTCTTACAATCAGAACACAAGGAAACTATTAACTTGCGGAGGGAACCGGGCTGGCGCGAGGGCCCCGCCGGGGCGGCGCTGGGGTGACCGGTGCCCAGCGGCCGGAAAGACGCCAGGAGGGGCCGTGGGAATTGTGGGTAAGGCCGGACGCCGCACTACCTCACGAGGAAGAAAACTGTTACCAGTTAAAAGAAGACTAAAACCTCTTTCCTTTAACACAACGTTGGCTACTAGCCCGAGCGCAATCTAAGGGCCGGGGGAGGCGAAGAGGGCGAAAGTTTTTTCTTGAAAATAAAGAAGCCGTCCTCGCTTCCCGCCCGCCCCCCACGCCCCCCGCCGTCGCTGCTTCCCCTCACCCAGGACGGGCTTTGAAGCCCCCCCTGGGAAGGTCGTTTCTACGGGTGACGACCGAGGAACGCGGCGAGCAAAACGTCGGCAAAACGGCTATTGTGTCCCGAGCGCCGCCCTAAAAAGAGGACAAACGGCTGGCAGAACGGGGACGGGGGCGTAGAGGCGAAGCACGATGTGATTGGCCCGCGGCTCCTGAGGCCGCGCGCGCCCGGGGAAGAGCCGAGGGACCTTGCGCGTGCGCAGAGGCGTCCCAGTGCGCCGGCCCGCCTCCCCCACCCCCTTGTGGGGGCGCCCGTCTGGAAGTGGGCGGAGTGCGGGCTGTGATTAATGCCTGGCCTATGGAAGGCAGCGAGTTAATCTTCCTCGCGCCCGTAAGTAGCAGGCCGCAGGCGTTAGGCGACACTTTCCTTCCCAGCCCGGGCCCACGGCGGGTGTAGCACTGCGGAGGAGGAGGAGGAGAAGGAGGAGGGAGAGGCAAGGCCCAGGCAGAAAGGTCGCGTCAGCTGCAGACCACTGCCTGCGCCGCGAGAGGCTGGGACGGTCTGTGCGGGAAAGAGCGAGGGGAGGTACCGCCTGTCCCACCAGCCCCCGCGGGACGGCGAAACACATGAGAGAGACTTTCAGTGGTACCGATTCCACCTCACTCGGGCGGGAATCACACCCACACTCGGAGGGGCTCCGAGGAGGGGCCCGTGGGTGGGCGTCCTACGCACAACCCGTCCCTTCCTCGGTGGGTTCTTAACTGGTGTTGCAAATTTGAAACGAAACCGAAGCTGAGCGTTCAACAGCACAAGCTTTAGTCTTTATTCAATGGCCAAGGAATGGAGAAGCGGGAACTTGAGTTCACAAATCAACTTCTCAGCTCCTGGGGTGATTAGGCAGCTGTTATAAGGGGTCTAGGTTGAAGGAGAGGAATACTCATAGTTACTCTGGTAAATGGGCAGGTTTTTCTGGGGAGCAAGGTGGCCACCTCTTTTCTTTCCTTGTTTGGTTGCATCCTGCTGTTGCTGCGGCAGTTGTAAACTGTCATGGTGTCGGTGGGTGTGTCCTATAATATGGTAATATAGTACAATAAGCGTATAATGAGCTGCCGGGTTTGTGTCAGGTCAGGTATGACTGCCTTATTGTCGTCAGCCAGTTTTAACTGGGTTTGATCTACGTCTCAGCCATCTTCTTCCTTTCTTTGTGGTTACCTGTAAGCTAGAGAGAACGTGTTAGGCTTGTTCTGAGCTATCAGTTGGGGTTCCCATGACACTCTCTTCAGGTTTAATAATTTGCTAGGATGGCTCACAGAACTCAGAAACATTTCACTTACTAGATCACCGGTTTATTATAAAAAGATGCAACTCAGTAACAGCCACATGAAGAGATGCCTAGGGCAAGGTAGGAGGGAAGGGGCTCAGAGTTTCCAAGCCCTCTCTTTGTGCACTACCCTCCCAGCACCTCCATGTGCCCTTCTGAACAACAAAAGATAGTGCTCACTCAGAAAATTCCAAAGATTTTAGGAGCTGTGTGCCAGGAACTGGGGACAAAGACCAAATATATGTTGTCTTATACCACAGGCTAATAAAGTGAAGGTGCCACATCAATGGGAGGGTATAGAAGGAAAGACCAGAGGATTGATTGAAAATTTGTACAGAGTATTTAGACTTCTAGGTCACCATCCTTAGAACAAGTAGCCAAGTGACTAGGTCACCCCTAGTCACTTCTGTGAAATAGAAGGTTTAGTTAGTGGAGAGTTTGAACCAGAGGGCCCCCAGATTCAGGGGTACTAGGTCAAGCAAAAAAAAAGCCAGATTAACTAAAAGTCTGTATACTGAATAGTGAGACCCGCTCCAGCCCCTTTCCACTGTGGGCTCTCAGAACACTGGTAGCCATGTTTCTGAGTCAGGCACCCCACTCTCAGAAGAAATATCTCAAGGTGACATTTTTGGGAGTACCCTCGATAAAATGACCAGGTCCCTGCTCCCCACCCCCTCAATTTTATAGTAAAGTCCTTTAATTGATAAACTGCCCACACAGATAGCCTGATTAACTTACCCTTTAAATATGAATGGAAGACCAACGATCACCAGACATTTGAGGAAAGCCTTCAATACAAATATTAAGATGTGAAACTATTCCTTTGACTATTTCCAGCAAGTCCCATTAAATCCAAAGGGTTGATTAGTCTTCATTAACCTTTTTATCTCATTTGATGCTGATTACCCACTTTTTTCACCCTTCGTCTTCGTGATAGCATTTTCTGTCCTTTCCGATCTTTCTTTACTTTCTTCAGTCTTTTTTTTAACTATGATTGTCTGAGCTGATGTCCTAGACTTTTCTTTCTACCCTTCTATGAGTTCATCCAACAGACTGTCATGTCACAGGTTAGAACTCACTCTCAAATCTGCATCTCTAGTGTTAAATTCTGACCAACTTTCAAGTCTCATGTTTTCACATTTTCACTGAGTCTATACCTTTTGGATGTGACACGAGAAAAAAAAAAATCCAGTCAGCTTTCCAGTATCCCACTTAAATATGTTGTAGAGTAGATGCTCTCGTATCCAGTGCCATTAGGGCTGGTTAATTGGTCAATTCACTAAAGCAGGGAATCATTATAAAATTATATACACTGGCAGTGTCTATTAGTTGCCTAAATAATTGTCATTTTTCCCTTCGTCCTTACCAATAAAACTGAGATTTTATTCTGCACAGGCATTGTGCTAACCGAAAGATACTTCTCGGCCTCCTTTGCAGTTAGAGCTGGTCAATGAGATACAAGTGGACTCTGTTGAGTGTAACTTCTGGGAAAGATGTTTCTTGTTCTTCTCCCTTTCCTCTTGCTTCCTGTGTGGAATTCATTTATGAAGGCTAGGGGTCTAGCAGCCATCTTATATGCTACTTGGAGTGGCATGGAAGGAGCCTGATTGCTGATAACTTTGCTGCATATCTCGGGCCTTTTTTTCAGTGAGAAAATAAACCCTTGTGTAACTTATTAAACAATAAGTCTGGATCTTGGATACTAGTACTCAAATGAAATTCCTAGTTGATACATATATACTTAAACATTTTATTTTAACTTAAAAATATATCAATATTTAGCTCCCAATGCTTTGATCTAAGGCCAAGACTTTTGAATTTGGGTTCTGATTGGAGTTCATCAGTGTACTTCCATAAACCATTCCCATAATGCATTGTCTATTGTTGCAAGTTTGAATTTCTTTCATGTGGGGTAAGAATTTAAAGAAACAGAGCAATCTGATTACAGAATTCTAGATTTCTACAATTTTTTTCCCTCATTTTTTATTCTCTTGCCCTAACCTGATTTGACAGTTATTGTATCAGTCTGCCTCTGGCCCCCCAAATTCATGTCCTTCTTGAATGCAGAATTCATTCATTCCATCCCAATAACCCCAAAAGTCTTAACTTGTTCCAGCATCAAGTCTTAAGTCCAAAGTCTCATCTAAATATCATCTAAATCAGATACTAGTGAGATTCGAGGTGCAATTCATCTTGAGGCACAATTCCTTTCCAGCTGTGAACCCATGAAACCAGGCAAGCTATGTGCTTCCAAAACACATTGGTGGGACAGGTATAAGGTAGACATTCCCATTCCAAAAGGGAGAAATAGGAAAGAAGAAAGGGGAGTGTCAAGTCCCAAGCAATTCCAAAACCTAGCAAGGCAAATTCCATTAAATCTTTTTTTTTAATTAAAATTTTTTAATTGGGATATAATTGACATAGAACATTGTGTTAGTTTTAGGTGTACAGCGTAATTATTTGATACATGTATGTATTGTGCAATGATTACCACAGTGAGTTTAGTTAACATCCAGCACCACACACAGTTAGAATTTTTTTTTCCTTGTGATGAGAACTTTTACAATATACTCTCCTAGCAACTTTCAAATATACAATACAGTATATCATGCTGTACATTACATCCCCAGGACTTATTTGTCTTATATAATTCTTTTAGATCTTAAGGCTTGAGAATAATCCTCTTTGATCCAGTGCTCTGCAAGGACACCACCTTCTGAAACCAAGGAGGAAGCAACCTTATTCCCTGGGCCTGTGGTGGGAGTGGTAGTCCTGATGATCTCTGAACCACCTTCAGGGTTATTCTTCCTTTTTCTTGAAGGATAAAGCATGTTCACAGCAGAATAGCTCTATCATCCTGTTCTGTAGAATCCAAGACGTCCAGCAGCTTTCCTTCATTTTTGTCTTTGTTTTCTCTGTCCCCGTTTGTTCAAACTGGCAGTGTCTCTGCTGGTATAATCTCATCTCTATTCCTGGTTTCTGCTGAGGTGGCTGATTAAATTCATGGTTCACATCCATATTAATCTCTTTACAAGTGGTTGTTCAGCCACACCCCTAGTGATCTCTTCAGAACAGTTTTCTCATATTTTACAATATCGATAGGCTGAGAATTTTCCAAATCTTTAAGTTCCAGTTCCTTTTTGTTTAGTAATTCCTTCTTCAGTTCATCTTTCCCCTCACGTTCCACTATTAGTAGTCAGGAGGACCCAGGCCACACCTTCAACATTTTGCTTAGAAATCTCCTCAAACATCCAATTTTATTGTTCACAATAAAATTTTATTGATCTTCCACAAAACACTAGAACACAATTCAGCCAAGTTCTTTGCCACTTTATAAGAGGGATTGACTTATTTCTATTTTCCAATATCCTGTTCCTCACTTCTGTCAGAGACCTCTCCAGAATGGCCTTAATGTTCATATTTCTACTAATATTCTGTTCATGACTATATATTCTCTAAGAAGATGGAAGCTTTCTGTCCAGGTCTTCTTTTTTCTTTCTGAGCTCTCACAATAATCACCTTTAACATCCATGTTTCTACCACTGGTCCCTTCAGGGTAATCTAGTCTTTTTGTGATATGTACCTCAAAACTCTTCCAGCCTCTACCTATAACCCAGTTCCAAAGCCACTTCCACATTTTTAGCTCTTTGTTACAACAGCAGCATTCCACTTCTTGGTACCAAAATCTTTATTACTTTGCTTGGTCTGCCATAACACAATACTGGATGGCTTAATAAAAATTTATTTTCTTACAGTTCTAGAGGCTGGAAGTCCGTGAACAGGGAGCCAGCATGGTAAGTTGCTGGTGAGAACTCTTCCTGGCATGCAGATGGCTGCCTTTTGCCTGTGTCCTCACATGGTGTGGTGTGAGGAGGGAAAAGAGTGAGTCCTCTGGTGTCTCTTCTTATAAGGATACTAATCCTACTGGATCAGGGCCCCACGCTTATGACTTCATTTAACCTTAATTACCTACATAAAAGCCCTATCCCAAACACAGTCATCTTGGTGGTTAGGGCTCCAATATATGAATTTAAGGGGATATATTCAGTCCATACCAGTTATTTTTGGT